AAGCACATTACGATTGGGATAGCACATTACGATTGGGATAGCACATTACGATTGGGATAGGCACATTACGATTGGGATAGCACATTACGATTGGGATAGCACATTACGATTGGGATAGCACATTACGATTGGGCACACATTACGATTGGGATAGCACATTACGATTGGGATAGCACATTACGATTGGGATAGCACATTACGATTGGGATAGCACATTACGATTGGGATAGCACATTACGATTGGGATAGCACACACAGTTGGGATAGCACACGCAGTTAGACAAAATTTACACAATGCAGCTTTTGACTTGTTTGATGAGAACAAGACAGGTAAAATAGATTATCATGAGCTCAAGACGATAATGAAGGCTCTGGGGTTTGAGATAACGAAGCAGCATATCATGGATGTTATGAAACAGTTTGACCCACAGAATACGGGTTATATTAGTTTCAATGACTTTATTACGTTAATGACTGACCGCATCACGTCACGCGACCCGATGGAGGAGATTGCTCTGGCGTTCAAGTTGTTTGATGATGACGACTCGGGTCTAATTACTTTGGACAAGCTTAAGAGAGTTGCGATGCAGCTGGGCGAAGACCTCACAGACGAAGAACTGAAGAGTATGATCGAAGAATTCGATAAGGACATGGATGGATGCAGTAAGTTTCAGCGGGGTAATCATCCGCGACACTTGCGCGCACATTCACTCTGGTGCGGATATGTCTTTTGTTTAGTCGACCAGAAAGAATTTGCAGCGATAATGACCCAGGCTGCATTATTTTAGAGTCATAAAATAATGCGGTTATTGGTACACTCTTTGTGGCAGTGGTAAGGCGTTACGCGGGTTACGTCCCACTTTAGAGGACAACCAGGAAAGTGGGGACCCGGATGAGGCTGGGACCCGGATGAGGCTGGGAAAGTGGGGACCCGGATGAGGCTGGGGGAGGTCGCACATGTCGGGTGATAGTGGTAGTAATATATATGTTGCAGTAACCATGAGGGATGTCAAGGCTTCCCTTTAGCAATAACGTTGGCGGACCCAGCGAACGGCAGGGAGCCAATGACGACCATACCGCAAGCTTTCAGCCAACAAATGGTTGAAGCGATGCTGGCGAAGATAGACTACTCAGTATTCTGTAAAGCTGCCGCGTCCCTCGGTCTGCAGGTACCGCAAGACGCGGCAAACCTCGATGAAGAAGGGTACCGCCTCATTCACCACGCGCTGTTCGAGGTCCACGTCATTGAGGGTGAACTGCACTGTCCCCTCTGTCAGACCGTGTACCCCGTCAGCAACGGCATTCCGGACTTCGTGCACTGACAAGTGAGAACAGCCCGACGTCCTACAGCCGGAATTTTCCTGCACCCGGACTTGTTACAGCTGGACTCCCCCTAAAACAAATTCGGCTAATGGAGCGGTGAATAAATGGACGGACGCCTCCTTTCCGGACCACTGCGCCAACTACTCCTTTCCGGGATGCCGGATTTTTACGCGCAGTTGAGCTCGTTCATTCTCTTACATCAACAGGTTTGGGGTACCCCCAAAATCGAACCCCCCCCATGGTTACAGAATCCCGGTTCTGGGAGTCTCAGTTTTGGGGGCCGCCCACCTTTCGTTGAAAATAATGTGTGTCGAGTGGTCCCACTCTCGGTGAAACGTCGCAGTACCCTGAGCACCTCCTGTACGCGCTTGGCTGTGGCCATCCGGTGAAATGGTGTAGTCGCGTTCAGAGGGCGGCCACAGTCCTGTGGCGTCACGCCGAGGACGGGACGCTACAATCAGGACAGGGGAGTTACTGGTCACTTGTTGGCTTCTTTCTCCCCATCCTGATCTCGTCTGATGTTGCTGCTAAGTTCGCAACACAGTCGCGGGCGGTCCCATCTGACCTGTGCCGTCGGGCCGGAAGGAGACGACCCGTGCACATTAGCCCTTTCATGGCAAAGCCCCAGCCTTCTATATAACGCAACCGCCTTGAGTAGACTCTTCATTCCAGCGCAAACACCTTGGGTTCATCCTCCAGGCGCACCATCAACATACCACTAGCCCAACAACAAACCCGTTCAGGCCGCGAACCGTGAAGGGACTGTGGTACTTCACTTCTGGCTTGAGCCACTCTCTCTTGTCGGGCCGCAGACAGAAGTCTGATCAGTCGGTTGAAAGGTCTCCTTAAAAAAAAATTCGCCGTCGTCTAGACTTCGCCGTCGTCCAGACTTCGCCCGTTTTGCTCGTTACGCCTTCAGTAACTGGACAAGTCGGGGAACGCCACTGTAACAATCCTCGACTACTGTCCCCTCGCAAACCCCCCCGGGAACTGGGACGGCGAGTCCATCCCAGTTGGGAGTGGATTCCCCCGTGGGACATGAGTCAAAAACCGGAGCACGAATCCCAATTGGTCGTGGGCCGAGGGAGAAGGTTAAATGTCTTCTCTTTCCGACGTTGCACACTCCATGTTCCCTGAATGGCGCCCAAGGCCATTGTGGTGACCTACTGTAGTGACCTCCATTCGCGGTCCCGTTGATGGGGTGGAGGCACTTGTAGCTGGAGCAGAGCGTATCATTTGGACGCGTCCCTCCCT